GTCTTGGGGAAAGTATGTCTGTCTTCCCTATGAGGACAGTGTGACATAGCTGGATATGTTTTTGAGCCTAACAGACAATAATTTAGTTAACCACTTTGCAAGAGAAGCTGATCATTTGCATTAGACATTTTCTCTAATTCATTGTTCTTCAGTTATAAAATGGGAACTAAATTAGGTGGAAGATTCCTGTTCTATGCCTACCTCATAGAAGGCTCCAGAGAAAAGTCTGCTGTTTAATTCTCAGTATCGCTGTCATAATTACTAGAGATTCCTAACACCCTTCTCAATGTCTGGTGCCTACTAGGTATTCAGAAGGTGTTTAATGAATGAGAAATTTGTACTTTTATACATACACATGATCTTATACATATAATTTAATTGAAAAAAATATATATATATATTAGGAAAATGCTAAAATAAGTGTTAACTACTAGTAGATCACAGCTATTATAATAAAGTGAATTGATGATTTTATTTCCAGTGAGGATATAAAGAGTTCTTCTTACATCTTTATTTATATTAATACATAATTGACCAAAAAATATGCACTCAATTATTTGTTTATTTCATAATGTGTTATTACATGGTGTATAATAATGTTTTGATATATGTGTACATTGTGAAATGGTTCAATTAAGTTAATAATTTTACCAATTCACTTGTTTGTTGTTCTCAGAACATTTATCATCCACTCTCAGCAATTTCTAAATGTACATTAACTCTAATGATTATGATATATAATATATCTCTGGGACTTATTCATTCTAACAGAATTTAGAAGTTCCTTATACCTTCCACCCCTATGCTCTGGAGACCACCATTCTATTCTCTGCTTCCACAAGTTGGCCTTTTTCACGTTACATATGTACACTTTCTATGCCTGGCTTATTTCATTTAGCATAATGTCCTCCAGGTTCATCCACCTTGTCACAAATGAAAGGATTTATTTTTTTTAAAGACTGAATATTATTTCATTGGATATACTACATTTTAAAAATCCATTCATCTGTTACAGACAGGTTATTTCAGTGTCTTGGCTATTGTGAATAATGTTGCAATGAATGTGGGAGTGCAGACTTCTCTTCAGCATAATGATTTAAATGCCTTTGTATATATACCCAGAAGGGCCATTGCTGGAGCCAGGGTGTAAACAGTTATCTGTCATATGGTCAAAGAGCATTTTTTAATATTGGTTACTTTTGATATTTAATATTTATTAGTTTTTTTCATCATCAAAACACAATTGATTTAATGCAAATGGTGAACTGGCAGTATATGTCAAATGTTTTAAAAACATGCATGCATTACTAGATATTTCCATTTCTTAGTGTTAATCCTAAATAATCATGCAAAAAATTGGGCCATATGGATGTTTATGATGATTTATTTATAAAAACATTAATTACAAAGGAAAAAAAGAGCTGGGGATATGGCCCAGAGGTAGATGTCCAATACCCAGCATCTCAAAATAACAACAAGAACCTGACTGCTAAAAAAGGTTGGTACAATAAATTCTGAAAATTAATAAAATAGAAAGATATGCATCTATTTAAAACATTTTCATTTTTATTAGCACATTATAATTATACAAAATAGTGGAATTCATTCTGATACAATCATACATTACTGGAATGCAATTTGCTCCATTTCAGTCCCAGATACTTTCTCTTTCCCTCCCTTCTTGCCTGGCTCTATTCCCTTCTTCTGCTCTGCTGATCTTCCTTCTATGTATTTATTGTTTTTTAAATTTGTGCTTCATAGGTGCACATAAAGGTGGAATTCATCATGGTACAATCATATATGTACAGATCATAAATTTGGTCGATTTATTGTGCATCCTCCCTTTTACAGTCCCTCCTCCTTCCCTTCAATCCTTCTCTTTTACTACTTTGGTCTCCCTTTTATTTGCATGGTCCCCTGCCTTTTCCCCCTTATTTTGCTCTAGCTTCAGCATATGAGAAAAAACATTTGCCCTTGGTTTCTGAGTCTCATTTACTTCACAAATGCCATGATTTCATCCCTCTTTATGGCTGAAGAAAATTCCATTATATATATTACATTTTATTTATCTTTTTATCTGCTGATGGGCATCTAGACTGGTTCCATTACTCCACTATTGTGCACTGCACTGATATAAACTTTGGTATGCATGGATCACTATAGTATGCTAATTTTAAAGCACTTTAACATTGAATATTTAATGATATAGATGTCAAAAAATATATTAATTACATTATGATCTCTTTTTTAAAAAGCTGATGATTGTAGAGGGGGAGTGCATATATGTCTATGTATGTATGTATATGTGGGGATTGATAGAGTTTCCTGAGTCATGCACCAAAATATCAGTAATAGTGTTTATTTCTGGATTGTTCATTTGCGTGCAATTTTTGTTCTTTTCTTTTTGCTTTTCTAAGTTTTGCAAATGAGTCTGTATTACTTTTGAAGTATGGAAAATTACTAAAAAGAAATAAACAATGAAGTGAATTAAAATCTTGAAAACAGGGAGGGGGGGCCGGGGTAGAAATGATGGTGAAATGAATTAGAAATCATTACCCTAAGTACATGTACATAGACATGATCAGTGTGAAATATTTTTGTGTACAATCAATGACTTGAAAAATTGTGCTTCATATATGTAATATGAAATACATTGTATTCTGCCATCATGTTTACCAAATTGGAATAAATAATTTAGTTAAAATAATAAATATTTGTTGTACAAGTTAAAAAAACAATATCTTGAAAATATAAAGACAGTCTTTGACAAAAAAAAAAGAGAGAAATCTTTTTAGCTCGTTTACAAAGTAAAAGATCCAATACATAGACATGTTCAATAGCTTCCTGGACACTGCCTGAATTCACATGTGTTTTTGCCACAAACTCATGTGAAATCTGAAAAATTACTTTATCTATTAGCACCCACCCACCCATACATATGAAGATATAGGGAAAATTGGCCTAAAATATGTAGAAAAAATTTCTTCTTTATTTAAACAGAACAATTAAATTTATCCTGACAGTCTTAATAAAACTTCAAAAGTGATTTAAATTTTTACAAAAAAAGAACACTAAAAAGATATTAAAAATATAATATTTTGTCTAAGAGATATTTGAAAATATTTTATTATGCAATAATTTGGCTTCAGCTGAATAGACTAATATAATTGTACAAGGCATTCTCCAAATGTTAT